GCCTGAAGGTCCTCTAGGGCCGAGGGAGCTGGGGGACAGGAGGAGACCTAGGCCTGGAGACGGGAGAGGACGGCAGTACAGTTACCTCCCCAGAACAGGCCAGGCTGCAACTGGTCATCCAGTCCAAAGCCACTTCGCTTTTTGGCCGCATTTCCCTAGGGATCTCTGGGTGTGGAGACAAAGACCTTCACCCCCTAAGGTCACAGTTCCTCTTTTGGGGCCCTACATCTCCCGCCTCCACGCTTTTCTCTGGGCTGAGGCCTCTGCCTGGCGTGCCCTCCACCCTCTCTCCCTAGTCGTAGCATCCCTTCAGACTCCATCAAGCCTCACCTCCGAGGACCTTTTCCTCCCATCACCTGGTATCTAATTTGCATACATCTGCATATGTTCCCTTAGACTAGGAACTCCTGGTTGGGGGGGCAGGGGCTGGCTTTTGTCTTTCTTTGCATCTGCACTGAGCAGAGGGCCTGACACACAGTAGGTGCTTAATTAATGCCCGTTGTCTCCTCCTGGAGCCTAATTAATGCTTTTTGACGAGCTGGGTGCTAATTCTGGCTGGGACTGTGTTGTGTGACCTTAGGCAAGTCCCTTTTCCTCTCTGAGGGCCTCTCAGCCCCCACCCATTAAACTTGGGAGTAAGACCGGACATTTTCGAAGGTCATTCAAAGACTCAACACTGTCCAGTCTCTTTCCTTCTCCTTTCCTCAGTTTCCACCTGTGTAAATCAGGGGTTTGGAACAGATGGGCTCTAAAATCCTTTGGGCACAAGGTCACGCGAAGGGTCTCGCAGGGAGGTGTCTAGTCCAGCCTCCGAGGCTTCTAGGATTCTCGGACCCAGCGCAGCTGTGTGGCCTCGGGCAAGCCCAGCGGCCTCTCTGGGCCTGGACGGTAACAGCTGAGGGAGGAGGCGGGGCTGGGGGGAGGCGGGGCTGGGGGGAGGGCCGGCCCAGGAGGGGGCGCTCCTGCGCCCCAAGGCCAGGCCGCGCTTGCGCACTGAGCAGTGCCCCTCCACTCGCCCGCCTGACTTCCCCCTTACCTCGCCCCCTGCAAACGCAAGGGGGGGAGGGGGCCGCGCGCATGGCCGAGCCACGTGACCCCCAGGCCCTGCCCCAAGATGGCGGCCGCGGCCGGTTTAACGGTTCCTCCGAGCTCGAGCTCCTGGCCCGTGGGGCCCCTTCTCCCCACCCCCTAACCCCGCGCCCGGTGCGGGTCCGGTCTCGAAGCCAGGTCCGACGCGCCCTGTCCGCTTTTCCCCTTGGTCCGGCGCGCGCGCGCGCGCGCCCCCTCATCCTGGCTCCGCGGGTCGGCGTTAGGAGGCGGGGCCAGCGCGCCGCGCTATCGACGGGCAGCCGCCGTAGCCAATTGGGTCCTGGACGTGCCTCTCAGGGGCGGGGCTCGCCGGCGCTCCGTCTTCGCGTCGGGTCCTTTGGCTTTCGGGAGAGGGGCGGGAGCGACCTGGGTGGTGCCCCGCTTCCTTGAGCCGACCAATGGGAGGGAGGAGAGGCGCCCTTGGAGGGGCGGGGCCGAACCGTAATTGACGAGCGCTTCCTTAGGAGTCCGGGCGGAGGGAGGGGCGGCGAGGGGGAGGTGACGCAAGCCTAGACAGACCAATGGGCGGCGTGCTGCGGGCGGCGGGGGCGGGGCCGTAGCGCCTGATGGACGGCGCGGGCGGCCTATGGACGAGCGGCGTGGTGGGGGGGGCCCGAGCCTTCTGGTTCAACGTGGGTCAATTTTTTGTGAATGAGGAGGGAGGTTGTGGGGCCGCCGTCGCCGCCGTGGTGGGGAGCGAGCCAGTGCCCGAGCGCCCCAGCCCCGCCGCCGCCGCCGCCGCCGCCGCCGCCTCCGCAGACCAGCCCGGCCCGCTCCGAGCCCTGAGCCCGGAGCCGCCGCCGCCGCCGCCGCCGCCACTGCCACTCCGAGCGCCGCCCCGGGCCCGGCCCGCCCGGGGAGATGCGGCCCCAGAGGGAGGCGATGCCCGAGCCGCGGCCGCCGCCCCGGAGCCCGCCCCGGTAAGTGCAGGGCAGCCGCCCGGGCCATTGTCCGCCTCCGCCCCGTGCCCACGCCGGGCTGGGCCCCGCGCTGCCGTCCCTCCCCCGAGACAGACAGACAGACAGACAGACAGACAGAACCCGGCCCGGGACAGAGACACCCCCCCCCACTCCAGCCGCGAGGCCCTTCCCCGCGCCCCCCTCTTCCAGGCGGAGACCCCATCATCCCCCCCCCCCCCGCCGCGGGTCCTTCTGTTCCTCTCCCCCCACTTGTCATCCCCCTGCCCCCTCCCCCAGACCTGCGCCCCGCGGTCCCTTCCTCCGAGCTTGTCATCTCGGCCCCCCCACCTCTGCGTCTCCCCCATTTTCTTGTCTTCCTGGGGATCCTGCGATGGCTCGGGCAGCTCACTCCCGGCCCTGCAGTGGGGCCCTCCAGCCCCCCACCCTCCCTGCCCGGGCCGGCCCTCTCCCGGGTCCTGCTGCTGCGCCAGCAGGTTGGAGGGCATCCTGCCCGGAGAGGGGGCGCCCCAGCCCCCCTCCCCCAGCCCTCCTCCCCTCCGTGCTTAGAATGGAGCAGTTTTACAATTAAATGAGCGATTCTCCTGGCAAGCCCCCGCCCTGGCCGGGATCGGTGACCCCAGCTCCTGTCTGGTGCTGGCCGTGGTTTGGGGAGACCCCTGCCCTCCACCGGCCTGTCCCCTCTCGCGCTTGAGAGTCGGGGGTCTGTGGGGCCGCTGAGCCCAAGCCTGAAGCTCTGGGCAGATTGAGGACGGAGATAGGTAACTGGCTGCCTGGCGTGGGCTTCCCAAACCGGTTTGGTTTGGCGTGTGAGTGTGTGTGTGTGTGTGTGTGTGTGTGTGTGTGTATGTGTGTATATGTATGTATGTTGGGGGGGGTGCTAAGAAAGGAGGTTGCAAATGGGGAGGCCTTGCCACTGTCTCGCCCTGCCCCAGACTGCAGAGGAGTGAGCGTCTGGCTGGAGAAAGACTTCTTTGGGATCTTGGCTGCCTCCCGGGGAGGGCTGAGCAGGAGGGACCCCCCTGGGGGTGCAGAGTTAAGGGCTTTGATGCGGCTTGGGGGGGGGGGGGCGATGGGGAGGGAAGCTAAGCCCACAATAAGAAACTGCAGTTTGGAGGCTTAATTTTGTCGGAATGGAAAAAAGGAGCGACCGCTGGCTGAAGTCGCTGCAGCGGAATCCATCCCTGTGCCAGGGAAGGGAATCTGGGGGAAGGCTCCTAGGCTGCAGCTGTAGAGGGCCTGGAGATCATGCAGCTGGACCCTCCCTCCCGGGAAACTGAGGGCTTTGAGAGGGGCCCTAGGACAGCCAGCTAGGAGGTAGCGGGGCCTGAGGCAGCCCAGGATTCATCCAAGCCAGGAAGGCAGGCCTGTGTGGCTTTCATTCTGCATGGTTTTCTCAGCCCTGGGATGTTGCTGGCTCCGATTGTATTATCTGAACTCCTCTGGCATTGCAAAAACACAACATGAAATTAGAGGCAACTTATCTTTTATTTCCTCTGTACACAGACAGATTGGCCACTGGAATAGCTGGAGACCTTCTGTGTGCCCTAGAAGGGCCTGCCTCGGGAGGAAGGCCCATCAACAATTTCTAATAACTCGTCTCGCTGATTAGGAAGGTTCCTTTTATTGGGTGCCTGGAAATTGACCTGCTGTGACACAATTTTCAAATAAAGCTTTGTAGAAATTAAACTTAAGTTATTTTAAACTAATGACTTTCTTAACTAAATCTTAATTGCATGACTACAGAGACCAATCTAATTGCCTAATGAAAAAAATGCCTGCTGGTTCTAGGTAGGGAGTGCGTCCCCGTCAGCATCACCATGGCCGGCGGTGACGGCTCGGGGCTCGATCTCTTCCGCCTGCCCCTCCGATGGCCTTTCTGGTCCGACCACAAGTCCCCCGAAAGCATCTGAGAGCCCAGTGCCTTTAAAGAAAACAGGCTGGGCAGAAGTAAACAAACAAACCAGCCAGCCAGCTCTGCCTGTCAGTGGGTTCAGGAGTGGCTGCTGCCTGGCCTCCCCCATCCCCTTTTGTAATAGGATCGGGCCCAGGCGCTTGCCTGGAGTTTTAATTGTTTCTGATAATTCTGTGCCTTATTTTAGGGGCTTTAGATTCAAAGCTGCTGTTGTGGTTTCTGAGCCTCAAACTTAATGGGGGTGTGTGGGGGGGGGTGGGATGGAATGAAGAAAACTCAGCTGCATGTGTGCAAATAGTCACCGCGGCAATTACGAGGCAACAAAAGTTATGGCAGCATTTTGCGGTAGCTATGGCAACACGTTTACTCGATTATAATTGGAAATGCAAAATGCCACCCAGTCAGAACTTTTGGCAGTTGTAGATTTGGGGGTAGGCTAAAGCTGGAAGTAGGCCTTTCTCTCTTCTCCTCTTAGGCGCCAGAGGGGCCCCCCCAAAAAGGACATCAAGGTCTCGCTCCTTTTTTTCTCTCTATTATACTTTCTGAAAGTTCTGTGATACATCATATGCATAACGTCCCTCCTTTGAATTGGTGGCACCGGAGAGCTCAAATATGTGTGGGAGGGAAGGAAGTATTTTCATGCCTTAGATTTTTTTTTAAAGACTTGGATCTCTGTTCTAGGCTTTTGTTTTAAAGATCAGATTCCCTTCCACAAAGTGAGCGTCAGTGAACCAGGAGGACACTGGGGGGGGGGGGGGGGGGGGGTTTTTCTCCCCCCCCCCCCCTTGTTCCCTTGCTCGAGGGCCCCCCCCCCAACTTGCTGGCCTTACTACCCACCCTGTCAAGTACAGGGCGTGTGGTGAGTGCCCTCCAAAGGCCCAGAGGGGAGATCCCAGCACGGATCTCTGGCCGGGAGCTCGGC